GGGGGGGGGGGGGGGACTCCGACGTAAAGGAACTGCAGACAGTAACGCGGGAGGTCACTCCACGCGCGCAAAGCGCTCTGGCTTCGTGAAACGATCGTGTGCAACATATCACGCCACACCACCAGTCATCGCGCCAGATGGCCATCCACACGCAATGCACCTTGCATTGAACATCTCTGATTGTCCTTTCCCCACAAACACCAACAAGAAAATACACGAATGAAAGCACGAAGTGGACGGGAGAAAGGACAGCGCCTATAAACGAAGCGAAACGAGAAACGAATTGAAGCAAAGATGGCCACCGAAGAAGTTGTATGTAGCAGAGCAGACATGGGAATGACGTCACGCCTACACGGGCTGACAGACAACAAGTCAAACATGACAGACACGGAAACAAGCAGCAAAACACTCTCCCACCTCTCCCTCTCCCTGCATGATTCCCGGTGCCCCCATATCTCCAAATTACACAACAGACAAACCTCGTCGAACACTTCTCGGTGGGCGATGTTCCACGCCACGAACGGGTTCGCCCCGCATGCCTCCCGGAGAGCCTTGCCGGCTACCTCTTCCCCGGAGCCGTCCTCCTGCAGCACCGACCACGCCACAAACTCGATCGCCGCCAGCGACCAGGCCATCTCGCACCCGCGGTCATCGGGAAACCTGTACGGATTTTCGTGTTCGTTTGTGGATTCGGTTGGTGTTTTCGGTCAGGATCGGTTTCGCAAGTGCAGGTTAAGTGTAGTGTAGATAGGGCCTCTCCCCCTCTCCCTTCCCTCCCTCCCTCCCTCCCTCCCTCCAACCCTCTCTCTCTCTCTCTCTCTCTCTCTGTCTCTCTCTCTCTCACACGCGGGAAAATCGAGCCAGCTCCCCGGACCGATAAAGTACTTCAGTAGAGAGACGTAAATAAACAATGACAGCAGCAGCAATAACGCAACAACGACGACGCTCACCTATCGATGACCGCTCGGGCCTTGTCCGCGTCGCCCCCGTCCAGCAGAAGACGGACCAGACCTCTTCTCGCATTTACGTGGTCCACCGGGTCAAGCTCCAGCGACCTACCACGCAAAGGACCAACGCGGTGCAGCGGAGATGCAGGGTTTCCTACACAATAAAGTAGCGATTGGCGGGTGCCTCTGTACATCCGCCAATAACAAGCCGCACGCCCTCAGGCGTAGAAAAAAATGGCACTTCAACAAATGAGACGAGCTCTCCCCCGCCCACCCATGTCTTTTGGTGTTTTTTGATAAGCGCTGTCGTACGGGTAGACCATGTTCGTACCTCTGGTACCGCTTGAGGGCCTCTTCCGTCTGGGATTCCTTGCCGCCGTCGTGCAGCCTTTGGGCAAGCTGGTGGTTCAGATCTGAGCAAAATGGGCGACAGGCGCACAAAAAGCGACGAAGAATTCGAACAAGAAAGTCGACGCAAAAAAAAGAACGCATTGAGACGCTGCTGATCCACATCGACATATTTGTTGGATGTACCCCGGCTGAAACGTCAAACATATACCAACACCGAAAGGCCTGTAGACTGGCGTAAGAAAAGATGGGACAAACACCCAATCATCCTCAACATGAACAACACAACAGACACGTAGGGAAGGCAGACCCCACCAAAATTGCTCGTCTTCTATCTGTCTGTCTGTCTGTCTGTCTGTCTGTCTTGTCTCCCATTCTCCCTCACCGAGGTACTCCCTGCAGGCCTCCGGCCCTTCATAGAAGCCGCCCCCACTCGTCTCCCCTTTCTGCCTGCCTCTGCCCTCTTCACCGCCACCATCGTCGTCACCGCTATCGCTACTGCTGTCGTCGTCGCTGTCGGTGTCGTTTCCGCCGCCGGAGGCTCCGCCGCTGCTGGCGCCCGCCAGCTTCTCGAACAAGTCCTCGCCGGCCTCCCAGTCCTCCCGCTCGTTCACGAGCTCCGTGCCCCCGGCCCCCGGGAGGGAGTCCGCCGGCCTCGCCGCCCCCGTGAGCTTCCAGTGCGACGTGTCTAGGTCGTAGAAGTCGCGCCGACGCCTCTGCGACGGACGTGTGCCATGGCCCCCAAGAGGAACGAGAGGGGTACAACATACATGGGGGGGGGGGGGTCGCAGGCGAGGTTAGTAAGTCAGTTGATAGATCGTACTCGAAGGGTTGTCTTAGCTTCGTCCCCTGTCCCCCGGCTCACACACTGGAATGCTCGCCACGGTCGATGTCTCAAAAACAAGTCCAGACAGCAGTGTGCTTACGTGATGCTCTCAACCTGGCCTGTGCAGTTGCGCTACTCAGCAGCGCATGCGCCACTCTTGCCCCCAGGAGGGGGGACCCATGTGGAAGTACATGTACGTACATGCTTCGCGGTCAACAACGCTGAAACCGGGCAAACGAAATGAGCACAGAACAACGAATCCCCCCCTTCTCGCAAACACCTCTCCAACGTTTTCAGCGCCCGGCCTGTTCTTCCTCCCTCCTCACCTTGCGCTTCAGCTCCGGGTCGAGCGGGGCCACGTGCACCGGTGGCCGGTAGTCTCGTAGAAGCTCCTCCTGCTTCGACACCAATCTCTCCAACCTGGCCAACTGGAGGAGCAGGAAAAAAAAGAAAAAGAAGGAGCTCAACTCTTGGCACTCAGGATGAGCGAGATCTCTGTAGCAAGCAAGCCTTTGACGTTGAACCGGCGCTGAGGAGTATCCATCGCTTTGAAGTGATGCCGATTTACAGCGGTCGGTCTGGCGTGTCGCGCGGTGATGACGACGACAGGCACGAGTAGATGGTGCGACGAATTTCCTACACATCTATCTGGACTGCCCCTGGTGCCGTACAACCCCGTTTTGTTGGTGCATTGCATCGAAGCTGCCTATCGAGTATCGGTGTCGCTACGTCCATCTGTAACAACCGAATTGTCACCAAATACCAAACGTGCCTGTCGGCTTTGTCGGTGTCTACTACTACCCGTCCGCCTGCAGCGAGTGCTGCTGTGAGATTTTTTCTTTGGTGAGGTTGGATCAGCAGAGCAGAACGTGGTACCTCGAGGCGTCGTTTGTTGGCGTGCTTCTTCGGTTGGCTCTCGTACCCGCCGGACCGGTCCACCGTCAGAGGCTTCTTCCCCAGCTTCCGCCTCTTCTTGGCTCTCTTTTCGGCACGTTCCGCCTCCCGCTTTCGCAGCCTCTCGCCCCTGCACATGCGAAGGGTGTTGTTGGCAGCAGTGCCAAAATACCAAGTCAAATGGAAGGCACGAGCGCTGCTACGATAGGTTCGTTGAGAACAGCAACGGTAGAGCAACTTCATTTTCTTGGCGTGTGCGGTTATCACCGCGTAAGCTCGTTCCACCAAAACCTCCCAGTCTTCGACACGTACACCTGCATCGCATGCCTCCGGTACACCCAACAGAGAAGGCGATATCCTACGACGCTCATACCTCTCCATCGAGTGTTGGAGCCGGCCAGCGTCAACGGACCTTTTGCTGCTGCGATGAAACGCATCTCTCTAAACTCCTCTTGGGGGGATCCTCCAGTCGATGTACATACGGCGGTGAACGCGGCAGCACAGCACTACCGGTTTTGAACTTGTCCGTCTTAGGGCTCTTTGGCTTCAGCAGTATTTTCATAAAAACTGGGCGACCAGGCACGAGCGCACGGACAGCACCCGCATCCCCCTTCGCCTTTAATGCACACAACAGCAGGACCACATTCGTGTGCAAAGAATAACCCAAAAGCCAGCCCACCAGTCTCACCACAAGACAGCAGCAAACCTACGTACATACCATTTCGACCACGACCAAATACGTGCCTGCTGTGCGACGTGTTGTGCCGTACGACAGCAGTGCGGAATGTCATTCTTGAGAGGCCCGGCGCATTCGTCGCTCCAACACCTCCACAACGGTGTCGAATCGAACGCCACAACCGGCTGCGCTCTAAAGCCCGACGTGCCAGCAAGAGTCGCTTCTATTTGTTCTGCGGCTGATTCGTGCTGCTTGAGTCGCTAGAGAGGTGCGACTGCGGCGTTGTTGGGGAGACAGCTCCGTCCCAACACCAGGACAACATCATGTTTTTTGTAAATTAGTAGATACCACATCATACACATGGGCATGCCCCAGAGCGTACTGGCTCACGTTGCTCGCTCTCTACCTTTACGTTTCCCTCAGCACACACCGACAGGTGGGGGTTGGTGAGCTGGGTCCATCGCAGCCAAACTGCTCAGCGGCACAGCAGCACACCACCGCCGACAACACACGCGCCAGGAAGCAGCACGCGTGCCTGGACCATTGGTATATTCTACCCCGCAAACCCTCACCAAGACGAAAAAGTGGACGGCAAAACGTTGCTGTCTTGACTTGCCTGCTTCCGTCTGACATTTTCTTCGAGATTCCAGGCCCTCCACCACGCCCCTTCTTCTTGTTCCGCCCCATGACTTCGCCGTGGCTGCGTGTGCCAGTGTGGGAGCAGCGGTGCTGCGCTCTCGCAAGTGATGAATCAAACAATGGTTGCCCGAGTTGCGCGCATTGTTTCACAACCAAGGGGTCCTGCGTTTTATTGGCGGAGCCCCCCAACAAACCTGCCGCATCCCCCGCATCCCGGAACACAACTGCAGCAGGTGTGCAGGTGGAGCACACAACACAAGGATCATTCAACATGGGAGCAGGGTTAGCCGCACAGCGTGGCTGGCCTCAGGGCCAAGAGGACGACCCCTCGTCGCCGCAGCGCACGGGAACCTCGTCGTCGTCGGGAGAAGAGCCCCCACCAAGCAGCCATCTGCACAGCAGAAGGAGCTCCTTGCTGTTGTTCGAGGAAACCGCGGACACGAGCGAGGTGCAACCGCTAGAGGACAGCGACTTCGCGCGCAACTACGGCTCTTCTGCAAGCCTGGCAAGCCTCGTGCCCCTCGACAGGAAGCGGTGGTCTTCGATCGAGGCCGAGAACGGCAACGCGAGCGTGGGCAGCGGCAGCGCTGGGGATGCGGCGGAGGACGATCACCTTGAGGCACGCGATGGCCGGGAGGTTAGCGTTGCATACGATCTGGGGACTGCCGTGCTGTCAACAGAGGAGGAGGTGCGTGTATGAGTGCACAGCAGCTGCTTAATCCAGATTAGGGGAGGGGTGGAAAGAGCAGCAGCATGTACGTTGATGGACTGCAGTCCCATGTCATGTGCATGCGTGTATGCGTAGTAGGAACGAAGGTTCCGGAGTGTGCTCTTCAAACTTGAAACGGTTCCTTTCAGCCCGGGTTGATTCCCCGCGGAGCAATCACAGCATACAGAGGCACACAACACAGCAGTCGAAACAGCAATGTGTGCCGCGGCAGAACGGCGGTCTTCGCGTGTTCGGAATCCCAACCTGAAGTGCTACATCAGTGACGGACATCACGGAACCGGTACTTGTATCATACACGTGCTGTTTTGTTGAAGGCGGTGCTGTTTGGCTGGCAGGCTCCAGCTGCGGTGAGAAGAGTCCGCAACTCAGAACTGCATCCTGAGGTCCAACCATCAAACCTCCACTGCAGCTCTCGCCGTTGCAGACCCAACTCTCCCGGCCTGCGAGTCCACAGCAGTGGTAACTCATACCACTAGCTGCAACCCATACCACTACTGTAGCTGCCTTCGATGATGTGCAGTCCAGTTGGTTTGGGCTTGTTGTGTAACTGCAGTGCCAGCGTTTTGGTTGGATCCGTGCTAGCCAGGACAAGACTACAGCAGCATGCAGACATGGACACTGCCCGTCTCAGCTCTCGGTCCGCCGGGAATCTGGCGCACCATTCATACACTCCACCAACACCAACAGACCAACAGAGGCGAGAGACGAGGTGTAGGTTTTCATGCATGCCGTTGACGAGCGCACACTAGGCATCGTGCATGCTGGCACGTTCAGGTTTGTTACAAAAGCAACCTTGTTACAAAAGCAACCTTCTGCCGTTTCTAACCTGCACCTTACAATAGTGCTATTTACCTAATCAGTAGAGGACACAACAACTATGAACAGGCATCGTGCGTGCTGGTACGTATACGTTCAGGTTTGTTTCTTGGGTGGTGACATCGAGGATCGTAGTAAATAGCGGCCTACAATCTCCGCCAATCTCCGCAGATTAGACGGACACCTTGTCTTGTTGGTTGTGCTCACCACCACCGACCGTAAACCCGTGATTGGCGGGTCGTCAGAGTAGTGACATCAGCTACATGTACTGCTGAAAACCCGCAGTTTATTGTATTTTTCCAAACTGTCATTTTTATTATTATTTTCCACGAAGTCTGGATGATAACTCTCTGACAAATAACGAGGGGGCGACACCGGTCGCTTCCCTCTCTCATCCAGAATCCAAGTTCCCTTTCATGTCAACTGGCCGGGCCTAACAAAATGCCGTCTCAGTATACCAAGACCCCCAATGGTACTCTACCATTGACATCCACAATCAGACCCTCATACTGTAACCCAGTTCCCCGTGGAATAATAGCAATCATATATCGACATGTCCACTACATATCCTCTCGGTACTCATACCCCCGGTTATCGCCCGCCCCCCCCCCCCCTCTTTCGGAAAAAAATCGAGGGTGGCGTGGGTCGGAAAGACGACAACACTAGCTCCCGGAACAGAATGTCCTAAACCAGCAGCTGGCAGTGTTGTCCATTCGTACGTCTAGCAGTTCCTGTGCTCCCAGCACTGCTGATGCTTCAACGTGATCGGGCGCAAACGTAATGTCCTGCGAGCAGCTGTCTTATCTCGGCGCGCATGCCTCCTCTCCTGCAAGCACGCAGACATACTCTTTGCCATACAATATAAATGCCCACTTTCTTCGATCAACTCCAATAAACACCAATTTCAGACTCCCCCGCCCCTTGGAAGGATCCATCTGAAATACTCGCTTCAGGAGATTGGGGTCAGCGGCGGCGAGCACAAGCTGTACAAAGTGTCGGTCTAATTTCAGGAGATTTGCGGGTATGTGTGTAGGCCATTACTCTAGTACGACCTCGATATCACCTCCACAGAAGCAGTTTTGAGCGCCCCAACACACCCTCCCCGCTGCGATAGGGTGTCCTCTAGTGAAATCAGTACTACTGCTGTAAGGTGCAGTTAGAATGCTAAAATGGCCTTATCTGAACGCCTGCCGTTTTGGCTCTATTGACTTGAATTTAGACTCGTGTGAGTTTTTTTCTTGATTTCAAAGGGGGCGTGCGGAGGTAGACTCATGATATATATGATTTGAATAGCCCTACCGCCGCCCTGTGCGAGAGTCGACGATTTTTGTTTATCCCGATGCCTTCCGACTTGTCTTGTGTCTCTGTTGTGCATTTTTCTGGTGCTCATGCGGTTTCTTTCAGAATCAGTCATCAATATAGGTTGGAATCACCCCCTTTTTTATTCCGGGGGTGATAGCCCAACGTCCCCGGGGTCAACGGAGGCGTAAGACACGTCATAAGACGCGCGATTTCAGCAGGGATACTACAGCTCGAAAACATCATGAACTTGACGATCACAACGTGGTCGTGGTTGAAAGTCGCCATTACTTGCATACAACGGTCGTTCGCTTTTGAACCTTGACATAATAACGCGCCACCCCTCACATTATAGTTCACTACAGTGGGTACAGTGCTGCAGGACAAGATTTTTACTTACAACAGTGCGCTGTTGCTGCTGATATTGTTGTTGCTAACTTTGTTGTCTATTGTTCTGGTGTAGTCCCCACGTTGAAAACCTTGCCGAGATGCTGCTCTGCAGGTGTGCTGCACCATCAATTTAGGGGTTCCGTATGATCTAAACGGTACCCCCGTCTATATTTTACATCTGCGGGGCGCCCTGCTTGTGAGATTTTTTGTGCTCTTAAAGCGGGGATTGACATAAGATGGGTGTCTTTTTAAGCGGGGACATTGAACTTGTTCATTTGAAACATTCATGCGTAGGGAACACCAAAATATGGCACCCTAGTAGCAGCAAGTGCTTTACAGGAACATTTTGGTGCTAATCAGAGCAGAATTCCGAGTTCGCTGCTGTTCATGTTCCCTCTCTTTTTTGTGGTGCTGTCCCCCAGTGAACTTACAAACCAAAGACCGAAGCTGTGAAGAGTAGTATTTTTAGAAAGTAAACATAACCTCACAGAAAGACTACCCGTTTTTAATGAGCCGCGGAGCGAGCGAAGCGAGCGACATTTTTCCCTTCGTCCCCAGGAGGGAAAAAAAGGCCCTATATATCGGCCAAAGTTGCGCCGCGCGATACAGGGCCCCCAAAACTTGGTTTCCGGGAAGCGTATTTTGCACACCTTTGGGACCAGAACGAGATCTACAGGGCACCGATTGACAATCTGCTCGCTTCTGAGGAAGAAGAAAAATAGCGCGCTCTTCTCCACACCGGTTTCGTCGTGCTCCGAGAGCAGATGGCCGTGCTTGACCGGCATATGTAGCCTAAATTCGTAGGAGATTTTGCTCCCCAAGCCCGGGGTTTCTACGCGAAAAGGCGTGCACAAAAGCGGAGATCGCGGGCGAGCGCGATTCAGAGCAGGACAAGAAAAACCGACAGAGACGCAAGAACACCACCAACAAACGCATCACCGCTGAGACGCTGGTCTGAGACCAGCTATGAAAACCAGGAGGGGTCGGGCCTATACGACCTGTGCACCGTGGGTATACTGTAGGCATGCGCCATGTGTAACCTGGCGGGTGTTTATTGATGATGATGAGTGGGTCCAACCAGCTGCTTCACAAAGAGCAGACAGATGATCACACAAATAACACACCTTCCCACAAGTCCAGATCACACCTACATGTGCCATCATCGAGAGAATCCGTCGAGGGCGTGAGGGTCTACTACTGCTGCTGCTGTGCGTTATCAGGATGGTTCCCCGCGGGATCGGTTCAGATTGCGTACTTGCGCCGCGCTACTGACTGTCTTCGCAAAGAAAGCCGTGCCCTGCATGCTGTTGTTGCTGCTGCAAGGCTCCAGCAGAGCCTCTCGGCCTCTCGCATCAAAGTCATGACGTCACATGACCATCAACGGCTTTTTTTTTGTTTTTGGTTCATGCTGGACTGCTTGCTTTTACTTGGGCGGGAAACTCGGAAGGCTTGAGACGAATGTGGCGGGCAATTTGTGAGCCTGACGCAATATTTGCCATCTATCGTGTCACAATCCTATGTCTACGCTACTGGTCGTCCTCCTCGACGGTGTGATGTGTGATACGCTCGCCGCCAGGGGGATGCCGCGTGTATTTGTGCTTCTTCCAGATGCCCAGATGTGCGTGTTTGCGTCCGCACAGCGGGAAGACTTCACATTTGTTTCTTCGTGCATGTGCATCAAAACGGAAAGAAACAACCGCATGTAAAGTGCAAAATTTGAACGGTAGCCGCACATACAGTCATCGTCGCTCCCGTCGCATGCCTGCTGTTCCTCTGTGGTGCACGCGTAGCTGCACCACAAACGATTCACGCTGGTGTTTGTCGGGATTCGTGCACCATCAGCATCGCAGATAAGACTACTGCAAGGTATTGAGTCGCACCACGCGGCTCATTACCCCCCCATACCTAGTATTATTACAACCTCGTTGTTTCCATTTTCCTCTTAACAGCAGTAGAGTATTCTACCTCACACCAGTGCTATGTTTCAAGTCCTGTGTGTGGCTTCCCGCTTGCACGAGTCAGTCCTGTGTGTGGCGAGGCAACCTTTTTTGGACCTGAAACGTGCTGCTGCTGCTGCTGCTGCTGCTGTGTCTCCGATCTTGGGTTGTGGGTGTGTCTGGACAACCGGGGCGATATGCCAGATTCGACACCGCTTCCAGTTCAGGCCCAGCCAGACCCCCAGCCCGAGCGAGTACGTGGCCAAGATAAAGAGAAAGATGGCCAAGAGGCTCGGCAGCCCTCTGGCTGTGCTCAACTTCTTGCTTCCGATCACGAAGCAGCTCAACAACTACACGTCCGAGAAGATGACGAGAGACGTTGTCGTGGGGTGCACCATGGCGACCCTTATGATACCACAGGTATGCACCTGCGGTACGCGTGTTTTTTTCAATATGTTTATACACCGGTTGCGTACTTGTTGACATGAGGGAAAGGAATTGGCGCGCCGGCTTCGCTGCCGAGTTGAAGGCATGCATCGCGAAGGGTGTGGGTTCTCCCTCTCTTTCGGTGTGGACCCCAGATACTACTATGAGTACTGTAGTTGTGCCTTGAGCAGGGAAGGCAATGGCAAAGAGTAGGGTAGTTTAAATGCAGCAAGCAACGGTAGTGATGGATTGAAGAACATTGAATATTGCCCTTTTGCCAAACTTGGGCAGCCTCTCTCTCGGTCGCCATGCCCTCGCCCGTTTCACGAACATAAACGAGTTTTTGTTTCATGTGTTGCGCCCACCTATTTGCGACGGCACTGCAGCGTTCACCCTCCCACCTGTCCGGCCCTGTACAGTACCTCTAATGCCTTATTTTGTCTCTTTTGCTCATCTTGTAGTCCAAGTATTCAATCTAGCACTCGCGGAGACTCATCGGGTATCCTTGGCATGCTCTCCATCCATGCCTCTGGGTTCATCGACCAGCAAGGACAACTGCGGTGCGTAGTTTTCTTCGCCGCCGCGGTGTTCTTTCCTTGAAGACGGTGTTTCGATTGTATGCGTATGTATGCCGATCCTGAACCGTGCCACGCGCAGGGGCTGGCTTTCGCGACCGTGTCTGGCATCCCGATCCTTTACGGGCTCTACATCGTGTGGGCCCCGCCCTTCTTTTACTCGCTCTTCGGGGTGAGCCTCCACGTCAGCTACGGCCCGTTCGCTCTGGTGGGGCTCTTCATCAGCGACGCGCTGCGCATCCGGGGCTACCAGCCGTGCGACGGACTGTGCCGCCACAAGACGGACGAGACTCAGGTAAGTTGTTGTTGTTCCGCGTGCTGTCGTTGGTGTCTAACGCCAGAGAGGATTATCGTTTGTCGTGCTTGCTGTTGCCTTGGTGTTATTGCTTTTTTGTTACAACGGTTGTGATTGTTTCTTGTTCTTGTTGATGTCGATCGTTTTTTTGTGCGCGGTGGTACGTGGTAGCGCATGCCGTAGGTTGCGTGAGATATACCAGACCACCATGGACCGATTTTCATAGCCCGGCTACTCTGCAGCAAGGGCAGTGAAGGTGCCGAAAATGACGACGCGGAAAGCGTCTTGTCGAGAGCTTTCCGAAACCGAATCGTTTGGTTGCGGCGGTACCATCTTCGTGAAGTAGTTGAGCTTTCAAAATCGGTCCAGGGGGTGTGCTATCTTACGTCCCCAAAGACATGCCTTTCGTCTCGTGGAAAGTATGTGCCAAAATTTAGTTCCCTGACTGCACTTTGGGTGAAGGCACTCCTGCTACTGCTGGTGTTGCGACTCCAAGTTGTTGCTGCAACGCTGCTGATGTTGTTCTTGCTACTGCTAATGTTGCTGCTGCTGCTGCTGCTGCTGCTGCTGCCGTTGTTGTTGTTCTGCTACTACTGCTGCTGTCGTTCTCGCGGAAGGCTTACCTGGAGGCGTGCACAATTATCACCTTCATGGTCAGCATGTGGTACTTCCTCATGGCCATGTTCAACCTCGGGGAGCCCCTCGCCATGCTCGTGAGTTTCCGGTCACTGCCCGCATACTGAAGTACAGTAGTTCCCAGCTCTACACGCCCACGCTGTGCACCCGACGCAGTAAAATGCGCGATTAGAGAGCGGCAATATGTCCAAATCTCAACTGTATCCACGAGAGGAGGAAGAGCGTGCATTTTCGAAAGAATAGACGTGCGCCGTCTGGCAATGAAAGATATCACCAGCTGGAGCTTTCGGCTTGTGTTTTATCGCTAATTTATGTGGCGTTTTTGAGCAGGGCGTCCTGTCTGTTTTGTTGGGGGGATTAGGCTCTCAGAGTGGGTCCACGGTGTGTGTCCGTCCGTGCGTGCGTTGTATGTGTTGTCCACGCTCATTTTGTGGCCCACACGGCGGTTGGATGTCTTGTACGATTGGTCTTTCAGCTGTTGGATGTAGCTTCGGCACTTGACGTCTTAGAGAGCACACTGAAGTATTCTCGAAATATTTATTCCCAATGGAAGCGAAACGTTCTGGATTATCATCATAACATCGTCATGCCCCCTACGGTCGGCGTACGCGCGCATGTGTGATGGGGGACGGTACGGACCGAATTCCTGGATGAATGTCAATGTCAATGTTGATGTTGACCAACAACGTTTGACAACCATGTTATTGTACAGTTGGCGGATCCCGTCATCAGCGGTTTCGTGACAGCCAGTGCTCTCCTTGTGGCTAACTCCCAGGTGTGCTACCCAAACGTATGTAGCATTTTTTGGTATGCATGAATGCACGTATGTATATATGTATGCATGTATGTTATGTATTATGTACTATACATGTATGTAGTGTGAAATATTATGTATGTGTTATCTTTGATTACCGTCGACTGCGCAGCGGCTGAGTAGGATTAAAAACTTGTCGGGTTTTTTTCAGAGGGATAATAATGGTCTGCCCAACCCGAAGATTGCCAGGTATCGAATGATGGGAGATACCCAGAGTGCACCGAGTAAAAATACGTGTGTGTTTTTCCTGACATCCAAGTTTCTCCGGTGTGTGCGCGCTTGCTTTTTCTCGCTGAACAAAGCCAACTGAAGCTCGAACGAACAGCGGCACGTGCATGGCCTAACACCTCCGCCTTTCGCTGTCGTAACGAGACAAGAATAGATATACCACGGTTTGGTGGCTTTTGCATTCATGTTCTATTTTTTCTGACCCCTGTCGTCGTGTTTTCTGTGATGAGCATCGGCCTATGATTGACCGGCTGACGAAGGGTGTGTGTGTGAATGCACGCCCGTGTGTACGTGTGTGTATGTTGCTTGGCGCGAGCACAGGTCTGCACGTTCTTCCAGATCATCCCCCCGGTCAAATCAGACATCGCTGGCACCTTCACGCAGGCGAGCAAGAATTGAATTGGGTTATCTCTTTTGCTTGAATACGTCGCGCATCACCCTCGCCCAACCGATCTCTGCCCTCTGTACTTGGTGTGTTGAGATGTGGTGCTTTTCGTCAGTCTGAAAAGTACTTAATGCGCCTTGCCTTGTCGTGCCGCTTGCCGAGATTCTTGTCCTAAGGCAGAGGGTGGCCGCCTCGATTCGCGTCCACCTGCGCTCCAACACACGCGGCGGCACGCACGAGTGTACGCTGTGCTTTTTCGAACATGAACGGCGGTGTGTGAAGCCCCTTCTGGCTGCTTGCAACTTGCCCCCACCACAGCAGCAGCAGTGTTGTGTTCGGACGCACACGTCTTGGCTGCTGTGTCTGCAACACCTCCGCCCCAACGGCAGCAATATTTTTGTCCACACGCCGCACCCGGCTCCTCCTTCTTGCCCAACAAGAAAACCACCATCAGGTAGAATGGGGTTGTTGACCCCCTCTTCCCTCCCCACCGCATGCCTCCCGGGTGTAACGAAACCGACGAGTAGCTGTGGGAGGTCCGCGATACCATAAACTGGTGGTCGGTGACTATGGGGGTGGGCTCGATGCTGGTCTACTTCGCCCTGCGGCGGGGCAACGCGTACATCAAGGACAGGGGGGTGGCCGGCTTCTTCGTCCCCGAGGCCCTGACGGTGGTCATCCTCTCCACCTTCTTGTCGTGGGCATGTGAGACGAAAAGATGCAGTAGGGGGGGGGGGGGGGAGGGGGGGGGG